GCACCACTGACTATGACCATCCGCTCCACCAGGGATGGGTAGTAGATGGAGAAATTCCAGGCTAGGACTGCTCCCCAGTCATGGGCCACAAGGATGCTCTTGGAGTAACCTAGGGGGTCAGAGGAATGGGTGTAAATGAGGTGCCAGGTAGGGATGAGGCAGGAATGGGGGAGGCCAGACCTGGGATGGGGACCTGTCCGCACCCAGACCCAGAATGACGTCTTGGATGTCTGCCATCAGCAGGTCCACAGTGTAGCAATCCACATTCTGGGGTGCATCAGAGGAACCATAGCCTCGAAGGTCCACAGCCACAACATGGAAGCGACTCTGGAACTCCCTGAGCTGGTAGCGCCAGGAGAACCTGTCAGGCGGGCCAGGGAGGGAGGTTGAATCAGGGCCCCCCCGGTTCTACCTCAGCCCTACGCCCAGTAGAGGCCTTTGGCAACCCCACCTTCCTGCCCTGGTCTTCTTAGAGGGAGAATTCGAAATTCAAGGTCAAGGGCGAGGCTAGCTGAGCCAGGGATCCAAGGCAGCCTCAATGTTAATACCTTTTTGTGTGGGACCTTCAGGGGCCCTTATCCCCATGCCCCCCCACCTGGACCCTATATGCTCTGTCTATTCTGTCCTTTGTTCCACTTCCCTCCAGGCACATGCACCAGAGGCCCAAGACATACCAGGTCTCTGGGAAGCCATGCAGAAACAGCATGAGGGTCCTGTTGCCATATCCAGCAGAGACATAGTGAAGCCGCAGGCCTGAGCTCTGAAGGGTTAAGGGGTGGTGGGAGTAGGTACGACTGAGACCTGGGAACCCCCTCCTCCTTAGACTTGAATGCCCATGGCTATTTGGGAATCTCTCTCCCCCAGATCTGGATTCAAGCATTCACTCTGCTCACCCCTCCCCACACTGCACAGTCCACATCTCGGATCCCTGAGACCTTGATGACATCCCCACACACTCACCTGGAGGGTCAGGAAGCCATGTTCGCCCAGCGTGGGGTCGCTCAAGCAGGCTGGAGGGGTGCTCCGTGGGCGCCCGCAGCAACCGCGCCGGGGCCGGCACAGCACGTGCGTGAGCGCTACGCATCCGTAGACCGCTGCAGCCACGAGCGCGGCGCAGTACACGAGGCTCCACATGAAAGCGCGCAACAGCTTCAAGGTGAGGCGTGACGGCGCCAGTAGCGCGGTCACCACCAGCTCGGGCATGTCGCCACGAGTAGGGACCACCGTAGCGCTGTCGCCGGGGACTTGGTCAGGATTGTGATCTGGGGGTGCCCGCAGCAGCGGTATGACGGGACCTGGGTGGGGGATCCCACCACCTTTGGTCTGGGTGCCCTCCGTGCCGTCGGGACTTGAGGAAGGCGCGGAGAGAAGGAGGGAGGCTAGGACGAAAACGCCACCGTGCACCACGCACCTGAGCCTGGTAAATTCCTGAGCTTCCTGAGGGGTGGAGCTTGCAGGGCCTAAGTTTCCGAGGCTCGGGAGGGACTTCGGGGAGCGGCCTTGGGGAGCAGAGCTGCTTGGGGCTAGAACTGTAGGCGGAGCCTAGCAGGGCTTGGATGGGACTTAAGGGGGCGAGGTCTAGGAGGACTCCCACAGCAGGTGGGTGGGGAGGAAAAGTCAAGCGGGAGATTGGGGGCAGGACACCGAAACTCAGAAGACACCGAAAATCAGAAGCCCAGGACGAAACGGGCGGAGCCTGGAGGAAGGGTCGGGGCAACCCAGGGTAGGTACTTCTCACTTGCGGGAAAGGTGGGCTCCGCTGGACCCCCTAGAGTTCCAAGGGCTGAGGACTCCGTTTAGGGTGGGCGGGGGGAGGGCGGAGCCCAGTGGAGGTGGTGTCTTATGTTGAACTGGACCAATCAGCTGGAGGTTAACTTGGATCCCAGCCATCGCGACCGCGGGCTGGGTAGAAACCTAATATGGCTGGTGGGGCGGTCCCGGAAGCGGAAGGAAAGGAACAGTCAGTACTATGGCCAGGATTAGGAGGGGCGGCCAGTCGACGCAGCCCGAGGAGGCGCGGAGCCCCCGCCGTCATCTCCCCGAGAGCTCTCCGCCCTTTAGTCCGGCTTCGAGACACCTGGCAGCACTCAGCCTCCTTACAGCGATGGGTCCAGGTGCCTCGACCGCACGCGGACCTCCAACTGGCCCAGAGATACCTGTCCCGCTCCTTCAAGGATGTGATTGGACGGCGGTGGATTTTGAAGTGCAGGGAACAGGCCCCACCCTGGAGCCAATCGGCAGGTATAAGACCGGGCTCGGCCAGTGGAGACGGGGACACTCACTCCTAGGGTGAAGGCCTGGCTCGGGAGCCGGAGGACCAGGTCGGTTGACTGAAGCAATGGGGTAGAGGAAGCGGGGCAGGAACTGGTGAGAGGCCTGGCAGGGCAGCTTCCTCCTGTTCTGCAACATTCCTCCAAGGCTCTCCTATATTTTGGGGGTCACTCACCATTTAACCCTTGAAATAATCCTATTATCACATCTTTGTATTACAGATCGCTAACCTGAAATTCGGGAATTAACTCATTTGCCTGAAGTCATTCAGCTGTCTAAATATCAGTCCTGGGCTTGGGGGTGGGGCAGCAATCTCGGTCCCCACTTCTTTTCATTCTGGAGGCAGCCCTAGGAGGGCTTTTAGCCTTCTTCTGGTAGTAACAAGTATTTCAAAATGGCTATTTCTTGATTGGGGTGGGGAGAAAGAGACTCATTGACTTGCTTTTTCCACCACTGCCACCACCACCATCAGAGGTTAGTCTCCATATTGTTTTTGTTATTAGTCCCTTCAACTTGAAACTTATTCCCTTTTGTCACCTCCCACCCTGTTCCATTGTTAGCGTCATCTTTGTATTGTCTAGGCAGCTCACACTAATTGTAGTTGTGGGACCATAAGGTACCCCAGTTACTAATGAGTATAGCAGTGGCTTACGAGGGTTCTACTTCAGTCAACAAGCATCTCAGTTTAATGTCTGATTATTCTATTGTGCAAACCTTTATTCTCGGATTTACTGGCCTTTTTTGGTATGACTATCATAGCTTTGATTTATTTTACACTTACATCAAATCAATTCTCCTGGCAACTCCTGAGTCCTCTAATCTGGCAGCATGGCTGGTGGGTGTCTGGACTTCTTTCCTCTGCTACACAGTACCATCCCGAGCAACCTGTCCCCACCCCCAGCTCTGCCTTCAAACAAAAGGACAGTAGTCACATGATGGTAATTTTATATTCAATACAAATGTTTATTTTTGCAATGAGAACTGCACAAAAAAAAAAAAACCTTTAGTATATAAGTGAAAAGTCTACGAATTCCCTTCTACAAATGTCTAAAGTGTTTAATACAAGTTTTAGATTCACTGACATTAATTATTGGCCAAGCGATCCGTGCATACAGTACAGTGGGGACTTGCACACACCTCTTACTCTTTGTATAGGACTAAGATTTCTAGTACTGTGGGAGGGGTTGAGAAATGGCCCAAGAAATTAGTCAATCCAAGTTCTAATTACAACCCAGTTAGATAAACATCCATTAGGGAGGTGTGGAGAAGGCCATGGCAGAGTGATATCTTTAGAAGGAAGCTGCAGACAAAACCATTTCTCCAGATAAACAGTCCTGGGGACGTTTCTGAACAGAACACCAAACAAAAATGAAGGATTGGGAGGAGATGAAGAAATCCCAAAAAACCAAACTGTAAGTCACACTTGAACTATCACAATGGTGTACGCAGAAGTGCCTGTTGGAGAACAGGAGACCATTGAGGTGTGGGGGTAGAGGGGAAGTATCTGGCTGGATGCATGAACTGTACCTTCAGAGGCTTGGCAGATCCCAAACACAGGGCCTTTCTGATTGAAACAAGGTGGGGGTTGGTTAATAGTAGAAATGTTTGGTAAGTTAGTGTCTGCACTCACAAATGATACACTTTCATCTTATATCCTAGGGACCGCTGGTGGGTACTACCTACCACCCTGGCCTTGTGACATACTGATGGGCACGAAGGCGGGCCAGCAGGACAGTTGCCTGGTGGGCTCTCTAGGGCAGGGATGTGTTTGCATGCATGGAGGGGTAAAGGAGAGGGTTCTGATTTGGAGGATGTACACTCATCTAAGAATATCTGGTTAACCCTGAGCTTAAATAAAAGAAGTTTGGTAGAGGCAGGTGAGGTGAGAGAAGTGGCCCAAATCCTCTGTTGAGTGGGGGACCAGGATGGCAGGTGGAGGGGAAGAATACTGTCTGGAGTTTGGCCAGGTTCTGCTGAAGCAGGTCACCCACCTAAATCAGGGTCCACAGGAAGAACAAACAGGTACCTGGGCTTTTCTTCTTGTCACAGCTTCAGCTTGGGATGGCAGCCCCTGCCCAAGGATGGCAGGACCAGGCCATGGGAGAGGGCTGGGTTGCCCCTGGTGGTGTTTCTCATATAAAGGTGGCCTGGGGTTAGAAGGCCCCTGGGCCTAACCTAGGCAACAAGTGGTTCACAAAGAAATGTCAGGGAGACGCCAGCATTAAAAAAGAGAGATGTGTTTATTCCATGATCAGTACAGACCAAATGCATATTCACCGTATGAAAGTCAAACCAGTCAGTGACTCCAGAGTTTGGCCAACACTGAGGCACCAGCGTCGTGGTGTAGAGTGGGTTCTCATGGCACGCGAAACCTCACCAAGAGCTCCAATTATAAAATTTTTTAAAAAGTGGAAGGGCAGCTGGCTGCTGGGGCCAGGTGTCAGGTAGGGTGCCTCTCCCTTGTTCTATGGCCCAGGCACCCACTTCTTTCCCTGGCCCTTCTTTGTCCGGTATAAAAAAAAAAAAAAAAAAAAAAAAAAAGTTCTGACATTAAAAAAACAAAATCAACAAATGGGGGCAGGTGGGAAGAGGAAAAGAAAATGCAGCTTTCTGGTTTTATAATTAAAAAAAGACTAATAAAGTTTGAAACTGAGTAAAATATAGGCAGTTTTTTTTGTGTGTGTGTGTTTTGTGTGGGTTTTTTTGTGGGTTTTTTGAGTTTTCTTTTTACACCAGTTTGGTGGAGTCACCAACAAACTTCAAACAAAGATATGCCAACTATGTCCACTACACAGTACAGCCACGGTCACACACTACCCACAGCGCGGTGGCAGCCGCTGCTCAATGAGGAGACGATCACACCATTTCGGAGATAAGCAGTGCCATTGTGTCTGGAGAAGAGAGAATTAAAAATAAAATAGAATCCAACAAAAAATATATATATAGAAAAACAAAACAAAAAAACAAACAAAAAAAAAAAACAAACCCAGAAACACAGGTGGGAAGGAACTGACTTTGGTTGGTGGCCTCACTCGCCGGGCGAGCCTGGCCCACACACGCACGTGTTGACAGTTACCTCGCTCCAAATTGCCATGGACACACACACACCTCCACGGCACTATTCCCTTTTGCACAAGCGAACACTTACAGAGAGCGACTCTCAATTAAAGGCTTGTGGGGGAGGGGAGGGGTGGGGTCTGTTCAAGGCAAAGTCAGTGCCAGCAAGGGGGTGGGCCAGTATCCTCGCCTGTTCCAGCTCACAGGTCTGCCCTGGTCTCCTGGGTGCAGGCAGCAGTGGCTGATTTGGGGGGAACAAGTCCCAGCAGGCAGGACGTCATGAACGTCACTTTCTTGGGGACAGAAAACCAGTCACGGTGGTGGCAGCAATGATGTCCTGTGTATACTGTGTAGACATTTGGCGGAGAGAAGGGCCTCTGCCCCACACTCAGGGACGCTGGGGCTTGGGTCTGGCCGGCACTTGCTCATGGTGAGGCGTGCTCTGAGCTGATGTCCTGTGAGGGGTGGTGGGACATCCAGCTGGCTGTAAGGCAGACAGGCTCTGCGATCCTCAGCTGCCCGTCAGGCCTGCCCCGGGCGTAGCATGCAGGAGGGCCAGGCCCGGAGACACCCCCTTGCTGCTGCTACTGCCTCCACTGCCACCCCTAACACTATGGTGAGTCAACGTTTTGCCAGAAAATCAAAGTCAGAAGTCACCTAGGTGCTCTCAGAAAAGATTTTCTTCAAATATTGACAATAGATCACTCTGGAAATTCATGTCAATGGTAGCTGCCATCTGGAGGGGAGAGGAGGAGAGGGAGTGAGACGTGGTACCCTTCTCTGCTCTTGCTTTGGCTCCCAGACACCCCTCCCAAAACCTCTAGCATGGGCTGCTGCTTCAGGGCCCATAACTTGGAGCCTCACAGCACCAGAGCCTGAACCTCTGTGGGTCAGAGGCCAGCAATGTATAGACTGCAGGAGTCCCACCTCTTAGAGGGTGATGCCAGTCTCTGTATTCAGGGACCCTAACCCCTCCAGAGGTTGAACCCCCCTCCCTCAACCCCACACCCACCCAGTGGCCCTTTTACTCACTGCTTCCCGGCGCCTTCGCTCCTGCTCCCGCTTTCGGGCCATCTCCCTCTGCTGGTCCAGCATAGACTGGGGTTGGGAACTCTGGGCCTGGGGGGCAGCAGCAGCAGCCACAGCAGCTGCTTGCTGCTGCTGCTGCTGCTGCTGCTGCTGCTGTTGCTGCTGCTCTTGCCGCTGCTGTTGCTGCTGCTGCTCCTGACGCCGACGTGCCTCCTCATGGGCTCTCCGGGCCTGTTCCAGTGCGTCCTCATCCTCTCGGCTCCTGAACAGAGTAGGCCTCCTGGTCAGCCTTGGCTCTTCAATATCCAACAGCCCTGCACCCTACCTGGAGCCCACACCCACCTCATGCGTTCCTGCCGTAGCCTCTCCTTCTCCTTTTCTGCATGTTCAGCCTGAGCCTTCAGGGCCTTTTCCCGTTCCTCCTTCTCCCTGGCAGCTCGGCGGAACTGCTCAAAGCTGTCACTTGATGACTTGGCTGTGGAGGATGGGGTGGTGGGATGTTTCTGCACCAGGCTAGCCCAGGAGCCCATGTTCTTGATTTTTAGGTCCTGCAATGAAGAGAGACCATGGGGAGTATGAAGGGCCCAAGCTTTAGGACATAGAAGGAAGAATGAGGTGTAGCTGGGAGCCTGCCAAGGTATATCCAGTGCCCATGGTCCCTACCTTTTTGGGTGCAACTGGTGTCTTTGGCTCCTGTTTCTGCTTGTCCTTGTCAGGAGCCCCTGGTGGGGGTGCATTTGGCTCAGGGGGTCGAATCACAGGCCTCCCGACATCCACGGGCTTCATCTCTGGTCCTGGAACACAAATAGTCAATCTTTGGGCTTAGGTCCACTATATCCCATGAAGCATGGCTGACTGGCGCACAGAATTTCATTCAGCACGGGCCTGGGGGGCAGAGAGGGCACTCACGCTGGGGTAGGTGGACGGGGGCCTTGATGTTTTCTGGGTGCTTGGGGGGCTCTGGCCGCAGCGAGGGGCTGAAGGGCTCGCTGCGAATGATGGGCGAGTGGATCTTCTCCTCCTTCACCACCACCAGGGGCTGGGGCTGGACCACAGAGGCTGCGCGCAGCTCCTGGGATAGCACAGGCATGGCAGCTGGTGAGGTGGACAGGCATCCCTGGCCCTGGCCTGTGCCTGGCTCTGGGAGCCGTGGCACAGCCCTGCCCTTTACCTGCTTCTTAGGCTGAACAGTTTGCTGGGGTGGCGACTGGTGGGTCAAGCTCTGGAACTGTGGCATCTGGGGGGAATGTATCATAAGCGGAGAAGGGGCTTCACGGAGGTGACCTAGAAGAGGATACAGAAGCATGTCAGCAGGGCTGTTCTGGAAGTGCAGGACTCAACATAAGGTGGAAGTCTGGAACTGTCCTGTACCATAGTAGAGCTGTAGAATCAACTGTGGGCTCATGGTTTTTGCAGGAGGTAGACGAGCCCACCTACTCTCATTTAAGCAAAGGTTCAAGGATTCAGTTACAGAGTTCTAAGAATTGGGGCAAGACAGGAGTCCAAAAGCCCCAGTACTAGTCCCCTGGGAAGGGGCCATCAAAGCATGTAAGCCTGACAATGGACTTTACTGCTGACGAAGCAGGCCTAATCAATGGGCCAACGGCTCAGGACTGAGAAATGGGACAAGTCACTGAGTCAGCCCAATTCTTCTATCCATCCCAGCATAGGACACCACCTGGCCTGAAACCCTGCTATGATCTGGGCCAGCTCAATACGGGACAAGTACCCTCTCTGCAGCACTTTGTTCCTGGTCCTTCCTTGTACTTCACTAAACATCATCACTAGAACTCTGCCACTGATGTCCTCCAGATCTGCTCCTACTGCTATCACTCTATTAACAGATGACCTCAGACCCTCTACAGGTGTCCTAGTCAAGTAGTCTCTTGTCACGAGCCTGGAGTAGATGGCACACTCCAAGTATGGTGAATGTCATGTCCTTCTCTATAGCCAGAACCACTCCTAATCCAATAAGGTAGACCAGTTCCTCTGAAAACACACATTATTAGATCCTACCATGTTCCTGCATGTGACTGGTTTTACCAGTCTTGGAGGTGGGTGGTTTCAGTACTGGTCTGCTAGCATTCTGCAGGTATACTTCCTAGGGAATATTTGCTGAGAGTGACCTGGGTGATGGCAGGCTCGTTGGCCTCTGGTTTGTGGGAATCTGGGAACCACCTGCCTGCATCATCCATCAGCTGGATGCCTGCCAAGACTCCTTAGGACTTTAACAACTATGTATTTGGGCCCAAAGTTTCAAGTGGACTCCAACCCACCTCACTATAGGCCTTGGGAAAATGGACCAAAGACTTACAGGTCACGTGGTCAGAGAGAACTTGCCCTACCCAAGTGAGAGTTCATCTGAAGGTCACTGTTGGCCCCCACAGCAAAGCCAGGCCTTGTTCAAGTGTGGGAACACACATAGCTGGCAGGCACAGCCCCAGTCTTTCCGAGTAAGGATGGCCAGCTGTTCCCACTCAGGGTGTGGCAAACTCTACTTGGCACATGGCAGCTTTTTGCTGGTATGAACATCAGTCACTGCCTGAAGTAAATGTTGTTTAGACCATGGGCAACACTGTTGCATATAAAAAGGCAACATAGCCCACACTGCCAAGTCTAGGACCCTCACTCAATCCTGACCCTCATACCATAAGCACATTACCCTCCAACTCCTGGGAGCGGGGGGAAGTCAGTCAGGATATTCTGGTCACACACACTCAGAAAATATGTGCCTAGGAAAGGTGAGAGGGCACCTGATCAAGGTTGGTAGACAGAGGGGAGCCCAGGTGAGGCTGAAGGTGGTGGGCCCCAAAGCTACATCTGAGCTTCAGCCCAATTTTCCTTGGCTTTAGTGTGTGCATGCATGTGTGTGTCCTTGGCTCCAACATGTCTCTCTCAAGGCCAAGAGCAAATGCAAACTATCTAAACTTTCTGCCTACTGCCTCTGCCTAACTTACTCCCTATCCTGCTTGGTAAATCAGCACCTGCTCACCCTCTGGTTACTTCCAGGAAGCCTACCCCAACTTCCAAAGGCATACAAGGTACCTTCCTTGGGTACCTGCATTCCACACTAAATAGAAATCACCATGCATCTTAAAAACACTATTTTTGACCCTTTTACCTTGCCAAGTTAGAAATACGAAGCATTAATACCACCTCCTCTCCAATCAATACAGGGCTTACTAGTCGTCTCTGAGCCATGTCAACCTGCAGTGCAAGCAGACCTGTACATGGTCCAGGACAAGACTTGGCGGGAATCAGCCTCCCTAGAGCCCAAGGGCCTGAGATAACTTACCAGTTGAGTAGGGGTCCGACTTGTGGTGCCGGGGTGAAGGGTGGTGCTGGATGACTTGCTGAGGCTTGGCAGG